GTTGAGCCACTATTATCATCAATTTGTACTTCAGCTTCATTATTACTGATAACATCTTCCTCTACAATGTCATTGTCGACTAAAGTGTCACTAGAGGACGATTCTAACTCTTCTATAACTCTCATTATTGATGAAATTGCGTTCATACTAGATTGTTCAGGTTCTTCCTCATCTTCAAACTCCATTGTTATGTCTTTGTCAGGATTATTTGCATTTTGTAGTTGAGAGGTATTTTCTGAGCTATCAGAATTCTGCTGTGGAGTTGTAGTTTTATTAACATACATTGAGGAACATCCATTTTGACAACCATAGTCATCTGTTTGTATACCAATACTACAGAACTCTTTGTAAATCACTGTGTAAACACGCTGATCATTCATGACCCTGATAACACATAAAATCAAATTAAAAATAATCAATGAGTTACTCAAGAATAATTCTAATATCTAACATTTCAGATCATAGATTAGCCTCTGAAGCATCCATTTCCAGTAGTTCACTAAGGAAGCATCCGTTGGAGGTGGAGCATTAGAGAACTACCAGAAACGGATGCTTTGTTAGAGAACTACCAGAAACGGATGCTTCGTCAGCGAACTACTGGAAACGGATGCTTCGTTAGCGAACAACCAGAAACAGATGCATTGCTTTGGAGGCTTAGCATAGTTAGTAGTGCTACTAACTATGTTCAGAATCATCAAGGCTTTATCTTTGAAACATTTGACATTTCTTTATATATGCAATAGACAGGCACAGCGGAGCATATTATTTTTATTGGGGGGACTAATACATCTTTCAATAAGCTCTGGATGAATTATAAGAGGAATGTTTTCAACATGGCAGCCAAATTATATCAATGATGACAGTTTATATCACAACTACCAGAATGATAGAGAAAAGCACGAATGTGCCCAAAGCTGCTGAGTGTAGATCTTGTTTACTATAAATGACTCTGAGCTCATTCCCTGATGGTGCTGTAGAGAGGGAAAGCTCGGAGTCATTTTAGTAAACAAGATCACACTCAGCAGCTTCGTCTACAATCATACTTTTCTATATCATTCTACTATGCTGCTTAAGGATAACTTCCAACTACAGGTAGAACCTCTATTAAGTGGTCACCCTCGGGAAAAACCAAGTGTTCACTTAATAGAGGTTGACTGCTTAATAGAGGTTGCCTAGAATTTAGCTTTTTACGTCGCAAAAAATGTAAAAAATTAACAAGCTCATCACGTAATGTAGTTTTTTAAAAGGAATCTAAATACTCTAAATAAAAGGTTGATAATTTTAGTTTATAAAATAAATATACTGTAAGTACAGTAGAATTCAACGCCTATTCTAGTTAATGCAACTACAGAATTACAATGTAAACTGACATTTTTCATTTCATGTTTTCGTAATATTCACGTTCCCTCAGCTGATTTTAATCCTGATTACAAGAGGTGACCATTTAAATATGAAGGCAAATAACAATGAAAATGCGCAGTTGGGAAAGTCAAAAGGGTGACCGCGTTCGCTTAATAGAGGTGACGTTTAATAGAGGTCAAGTTTACAGTAAATGTTAGAGTCAAATTTTGGGAAGTTAATAGGTGACCGCCTAATAGAGGGTGACTGCCTAATAGAGGGCCGCTTAATAGAGGGCCGCTTAATAGTTCTGTATCATGCTTTGCAGAGTTTCTTTTGTTATGTAATTAGTCCCTATACTGCTTCACTAATCTCCAAAGACAAGCATTCTGGTAGTTGTACTAGTAAAATGACACTCTCATGCAAATTTTGGTTCTTCAACAATAGAAGGAAATGTTAAACAAAAATACTAAAGAAATACAGATAAAATTTATAGAATACAAAAGATTAATAAACCTTAATAAGCCTCAGGGACCAGAGCAAGGTGTTTTAAGTTAACACAAATCTAAACCTACTAATTCGGTGATAAGTCATCATCTTCCCAGGTTGCATTTGATTTTAACGACAAAAATTCAAAATCGATCTTCATGTTCACATTTCACAAGGAGTCGATAGAACATGGCAAGGCAAGAGTAATAACAGCAACCTCAACTTTACGTAGAAAACATCTTGTCTATTGATATACGCTTTCATAAAAGAGTTTAGTATCTCAAGACGATATTTTCTAATATAATTCAGACCAAAGTATCGAAAAAATCACCTTAAAACGTGGATGAATTTGATGCCAACTAAAGCTGATGAGCTGATTCGGAAACTTGAGCGTCGCTAAGAACAGGCAGGCGTTCCTGGTATGTCCGAGAAGAAGACTAGTCCAAGGGGCATTATAAATTAGGAAAATTGTTTATACTTTATAATCTTTCGCTGAAAAATTGACAGAAATAACATAAGTTAATAGGTAAAAAAATGAAAACAGAAAGATAGTGCAACGAGCAGTAAACGAAAAAAAGAAGCAAACGAAAAAAGTCGACGACCGTTTTGGGACTCGAACTCGAAAAAGGTTGGGACGATTCCCCCGAGACATTCTGTGAAGCTGAGGCGGCGAATCGATTTACACTCCGGTTAGAGATTTCGGCTCTTCCATGCTATCCCGATAATTGGTCCTAACTTCGCGCTAACTAAAAAGCCAGTGAGGGAGAAGCTATCCGGCCCCTAGACACTGATGGATAACCCCTTGCACTAACCAGGCAACTATCGAAAGTATAATGTCAAATTGGGGTAGTCTATTCGG